CTAAGGCATTGCCAACATCAACGTTTGAGAAGTTTAGATACAAGATTGGAATGCGCCGTCTCCGAGATATCAAGTAAAGTTTTCATCAGGGAGAGTGAAATACGCGTTGTACTCTTTTCCTTAACTATGGTTTTGTCCCAAGTTGGGTTTTCCTGGTAAGGTTTTTAACGAGGCAACATTCAAAGCGTATTATGAGATATGTGTACTCTTTTTCCTTCACTAGGTTTTTTTCCCACTGAGTTTTTTCTAGTAAGGTTTTAACGAGGCACATAATCTATGGATATCCAAGGGGGAGTGTTGAAAATCCATTGTATATGTGGATGATCCATTAGAGTTATCCAACAATTAATTGGATTCATGTATTAGTGTTTCCGATGTGATAAGATATCAAGGTGATATGAACCTTGATAATTACTATATAAAATTTCAAGGTGATCTTTGACTATGATATCTCAACATTATAAATAGAGATATCATTCACCATTGTATGACGTACTTGAATAAGCAAATTATCTCCTCTATCTTATACTTCTTGTCTTTTTCATCTTATATTCTGAGATTTCTTTACAATTAATGTTTTTTTAGAAATATGTAATATTAAACTAATTAGTTTATATAAAAAATAATTTAATGTAGGGTAAAATGGTATTCCAACTTTGAATTTTGGTGCTTTCCACTTTTAATAGAATCATCATATCATATATTCTTATAAGTAGGAAAAAAAAGTAAAAAGTTGAATATCAAAATAACACTATAAAGTTGAGTTACTATAATAATACCATTAATAAAATATATAGTTTAATAAATAATAAAATTTCTATAATTTTAATACTATTGGGTATGATAATGGTCATTCTACTTAAATTGCAATTAATGGCATGTTAATGGTCATTCTACTTAAATTGATGTATTCAATAATACCTCATTAAACTTCTACTAATTTGTCCAATATGCATGTGCATTTGAAAAGGCACAAACATTCTTATTGAAAACTATATATATTATGTGTGTGAAAAAATGAATATGCGAGCCTAGGAGATTAATATTTTTTCATTGTATTCTTTGTGGTTATCAGGTAAGTCCTGGAAGTGCTTTGTAATTGAATTTTCATTTCTTTGTATTTTTTTTTCATGTAGTTATCAAGAAAAACTTTTGTATTATTATTATCTATGGCTCGAACTTTGCTTAATGTAGTGTACTTATTATATGTGATACAATCATATATATATATATATATATATGGGGAAAATACTCAAGTACCCCCTCAACCTATGTCCGAAATCCCAGAGACACACTTATACTATACTAATGTCCTATTACCCCCCTGAACTTATTTTATAAGTAATTTTCTACCCCTTTTTTGCCTACATGGCACTAGTTTGAAAAAAAAAGTCAACCATCGTTGGGCCCACAAGATAGTGCCACGTATGCCGAAAAGGTGTTAAAAATTATTAATAAAATAAGTTCAGGGGGGTAATAGGACCTTAGTATAGTATAAGTGTGTCTCTGGGATTTCGGGCATAGGTTGAGGGGGTACTTGGGCATTATCCCATATATATATATATATTGTAATTCTTTGTGGTTATCAGGTAAGTCCTCGAAGGGCTTTGTAATTGAATTTTCATTTCTTTGTTTTTTTTTCATGTAGTTATCAAGAAAAACTTTTGTATTATTATTATCTATGTCTCGAACTTTGCTTAATTTAGTGTACTTATTATATGTGATACAATCATATATATATTCATATATATATATATGAATACTTTATACTGTTATTATTCATGGTTAAAATTTTTGCCTTCGTTGAATTAAGTGTAAATGTTATATGTAATACAATGATATATATATAAACAACCTATGTAATTTTTTTTTGATTCAAACTTGCAGATGAATAAATTAATTGACTTCGAATCAGGTGAGGGAGATAAAGGGCACACCTATTTATAATTATGCATCATACTTGTCAATTAGATATTTCAACAATTATTACACTCCTATTACAAAAAGTGCTACTTTTGTGTAGGCGTTCACCCATAGCTCATAATGATTCACCAGCTCTTCTAAGGAAGACATGTTGATCAAAGTTCTTTAAAAACTTTACAAAATACTGTTCTCATTTGATAAAAATGTTCTTTACAATTTTTACAAAATACCGTTCTCATTCAATAACAGCTTCTTTATATGTATATGAGTGAAATTGTGGAGGCTACAAAATCATAGAAATAAGGCAAAAATTGGTAGCCATGAACTTTTTTAAAATTTTGTGCTATGACATATTAAACAAAAAAGATTATTTCTCATGTTGACACTTAACATATTTTAATAATTATATAATTGATGTCATTCGAATATTGCTTTTGAGATTTTCTTAATACCAATATATAAGCTTGTATTTTTTCACTTTAATTCTATACAATTCATCGTATTATATCTATTAAGTCTTTATACTAATATAATTAATATGACATATGTATAAAAAGTACGTGATTAAATATATAATTAGTTAATTATCATCAAAAATAAATAATATATAACATTTGTGAACTAAATCAATTTAATAATTAATAGAAATGTCCAAAGTTTTAGCAAAATAATATTCCCTTACCACAAAAAAAGTTACGGTAATAAATTTGAAGATCATTAATGCGTATTCCTTTTCTCAGTATCATTAAGTGGCCATAACATTTTTTTTTCCTTAACCAATGAATTAAGAACACATTCCCATCCCCTGATGAAGCGATATATATATAAACTTTTAACTTTAAAGTTGAATTATGATTTTTATCTATCATAAATTAAAATATTATAAAACATATAATTATTTAAATATTAAATACTATCATTCGAATTACATGAATATGTAATGATTTTTTGACTTCATTCAACTGATTTTTCTTTAAATATCTAATTTGTTATATGAGTTAAGTTACATTAAAGGGTGAGAAAAAAAAACCATTAAGTTAAAAAGTTAGAATTAGGAGTACATGTACATCAATTTTTTATCTATATGGTTATACCAAAATTTTATTGAATTAATGGCGCAAAAAATTTATGATTTGAAAATATATATATTTTTTAATTTGCATTTTTATGAGAAAGTAAATGATACTTTATAATGCAATGAATAATTAATATTGTAGAAAAGTCTTTTCATCTACTCTTATTGAAATTCTTGAATATTAACTTACCAAAATAAAGATAAATAAGTACTTTATAGAGTAACACATTATAATAATGTAGCTAAATGTTTGTCTACTCTTATGAAAATACTACTTAATGTATTTGATATTCTTAAAAATTGTTCTACCTTTTGTTCTTTCAATTTAATTGCATTGTAGCGATATGTTTATATAAATTCATATAAAGTGTTTGCAAAGAATGTATCACAATTTTTGGGAATTCAAGAAAGAAACAAAATTGTCAAAATTCTTTCTTTTGTTGGTATGTCTATTGCTTCTTCTTCTTCTTCTTTTTCAATTGATTTATGATGTACACAACTAATTTTGTTGTTTCTTTTGACACCATATAAGTTCATTCGGTGACTTTTTCGTATTTCATAGCTTTTTTTATATTTTAATATAATGTTATTGCTTCACACTATATTTACTTGATATGAGCATGAGTTTATATTTTAGTGATTACATATTTTTACAAGGTATTATAATTTTTGGTGGCTTTTCATAATGCATATCCTCTTATCACTACATTCTATGACTATATAATATAAATAGATTAAACTCTTATTCATGTTATTGATTGATATAGAATATACGTGCAAAGCACGTGTCCAGAAACTAGTAATAAATAATGACATAATATATATGATGTTTGATATGATGATTAAAAATTAATATATATATATATATATATATATATATATATATATATATATATATATATATAGATTATAGATGATAAATATTATTAAATTAGTTCTTTTAATTAGGAATTAATCTACGGAAGTGCAAAAGTCATTAATATTTTTTTATTAAAATGATACAATTTGATATTTAAATTAAATAATCAAATGGTTTTATAACATTTTAATTTATAGTAGGGGTAAAATCGTAATTTGACTTTTAACTTTTTTTGTTCATATATATATATATAATTAGTTTATATAAAAAATAATTTTGTGTGTGTGAATGTTTTATAATACTTTTTAAATAGTATATGTTATTTTATTTGTCTTAATTAAGGTGTGATAAAATTTCAAGAGTCAACTAAAATTTGTATGTCTTTTAATCTTTTCTTTTAATCTATTAATTTGTTAATTATTGTAATTTATTTGTTTACTCATCATGTAGCTCTTTTCTAGAGGCTTATATAAATAAAGTAATAAGTAAATAAATGTATATAGAAAATTAAAGCAAAGCGAAAGAGTAATAAATAAGATGCTTTTCTAGCTCAATTTATGAATATACCTTAACGACCCCAAGCTCTAGTTTCATCATCTTAGCTGAGGAAATTTAGAGACGATCGGTTTTTGCGATCCATGGCTGCAAATCTCACTCCTAAGGTAAGAACTAGTTTTGAATCTCATTTTGAACCAGCAAATCTCCAACATCAACATTCAAAATAATTTTGGAGAGCTGATGGGTTGCCTTTTTTGAATCTCCCAGATCTTTATCCATCCTAAACATGGAGAATCTCTCGGATCTTTATCCTCCCTAATCTTGGAGAGTCGATGAATTGTAAAATTGCTGCATTATATTGGAAATTGCATGTATCCATCGACCCATCGCTACAGTTTCATAGTTCAACACATTGGCACATCTAAATTGGAGAGCTACAAATCGCTACATATGATGAGATCTACAAATCGCCTAGATTGGAGAGTTACAGATGATGGAAAAATTCACATAAGCTGTAAATCACCTAAATTTGCAACTCAAGCTGTATCAGATGCATCAATTTCTGGTAAAAAGACCCATATTGGAGTGGTATGTCTTGTTACCCTTTCATCATCTTTTTGTCTAAATAAATGCATGTGTTGCTTGTTTTGTTACTAGGAAGCTTGTTCTAATTCTTGCAAAAAAAAATTTCATTTTGTAGGTTCATATTAAATAAAAGGATTTTATGGCATATCCTATATTAAAAATTAGTTAAAATTCTTTTTGACCCAATTTGTATTTTATAGTTCAATAAAATAATATAAGAATCTAATTTTTTATTTTTGTGAAAATAGTCCAAATAAAAAATATGCCGCTAAAATAGTCCACCTCCCAAAAATATATAGCTATACTCGCGCCATTTTTGTTTTATCCAAATGTTGCCCATGTTCACACTTCATGTAAAAAAATTTAAATACAGTCACCTGCTATTCATCTACTACGCTTGAATTATCAGTTCCACAATCCTTTCAGCTAAACAATATGTAGTCTTTATCACATTTATTATTCTATTTTGTATGATTTGATTAATTGTAATTCTTCTGACATGCTTTATTTGCTTGGTTAGTATATAGTGTTTATATACTATGTGATTGATTAGTTATCGCTGGAATAAATAAGATCGAATATACATATATGATGCTGAATTATCCATACAGAAAGGATAAGAACTTATTTAGAAAGAACAGGGTAGTAACCATGCTGCCTACCCCATTTCGGTCAGGGGAAGATGTCTTAAAATAGATAGAAGAACTAGGACTTAAAAAGGTAACAGAACTTGGGGTTGATATTATTAAGGCAAAAGTATTCATTACCCCGCTGAACTTGAAGTATTCTATTTAATGTACACCCAAACTTTATTTCGTTTTAATTACCCTCCTAAACTTGCTTATTATTCCAACACGTACACTTTTTCTGACCGATCACTACGACCGTGTCTACACACGCACGACACCTAGATAAATATTTTGCCACCTAGATAAATATTCTGTCACCTAGATAATTAAAACTTAAAACCTTCTCCAATTCACGTCGAATAAAACTTCACAAAGAAGCTTCTCCTCTTTTTGCTCTAAACCTCTTTGCTTTTCTCTAAACCTTTCACGAGTGGATTTGGCAAGTGTAATCGACAAAGTAACGAGTAGATTTGTGCCTGTTGCAGTTCTAGAGTAAAGACTTGCTAGATTTCATGAAGTGTTTGGTCGACTGGTGTCGATTGATCGATTTTCTTTGGATCTTGTATGAAATTGTTAACAAGTAAGTGATTATCCACTCGATTTCGTGAAGGCTTGATGTATTGTTGTCTTTTTACTTTAGTTTTTTATATTTTGCCCTATTTTTCGTTTAAGGTTTCGCCGTACTTTCCTATTGAGTTTCCGATTAGGGGTCTAATAGTTTTCAACTAGAATTTTCACTTAATGAATGTATTATTTTGAAGTTTTTTACCTTATTCATGCATGATCATTAAGGTTTCTGATAATTATTTTAAAAAATTAAGGCTTTTTAGTAAAATTAAGGTTCTAAGTATTAGGGTTTCTATTATTGTTATATGGTGGGGTATTTTATAATTTGTTTAAGTATATTGTGTGGGGTGCCTATTGTATGTTGATGAGTAATACGTCTACTATACTAAGTACCAATTGTTGCTTTTGTTTTGGTGTTATTGTCTATGCTTCGATTTTGTTGCTTGCATTGTACAATATACTGATTTTATTGTGGTTATAGGTTGACACTATGACTAATAAGTACCTTAATTTAAGGTTCAAATTTGGCGGTATCTTGGTGAGTGAGGTAGGTCCAGTATATGTTGGGGGTAGGACTGAATATGTAGAGAATGTGGATGAAGATCATTTATTAAATTCCTGAACTTGCAGATTATGCTAAGCCTTTTGGGATTAGTAAGTTAGGAAAAACATATGCAGCTCCATCTCTAGGGGGGTGATTTGGTGGAATTGAAAAATGACATGGACATTTGTAGCATGACATTATTTATGCATGATGGGGACACAATAGATATTTATGTGTGTGATGACACTATTCTGGATGATGTGGGTCCTAGTGAAGGTCTAATTAGTTAATCTTAAGTTAAGTGGTTGAGTCTTTTAATGCACATGGGAAATCTTTAATTGCACAACCAAAAAAATCAAATCTAGGGTTAGGTTCCTCTTCTTCCTTTTCAGCTACTGAAAGACTTGAAAATGATGGGGTTGCAAGGGTCGAACAAGAAAGTGATGATGATTATTCTTCAATAGATTTGACTGATACTGAAGAAGAAGTTGAACCAACTATCCAACAAGGAACTGAACCTTCTATTCAAGAAGAAGTTGAGTCAAGTACCCAAGAAAATGCAGAGGAAGACATAGACAGTGATTCTATCTGTTCTTACCAGTCTATTAACTATGGAAGTGATGTGCATGAGGAGTTGAGAATTGTTAAGGAAGATTTGAGAAAACTTAGAGAAAGTAGGAGGAGAAAGAAGAAAGAAAAACCAAAAGATTTTTTTAGGTGAAGTTGGATTTGATGAAGGGTATGAGGATATTGAAAAAAGGAAAAAGAATTTCAAGGGTAAGCTAACAGAGATGAGCCATAATATGACAGTTCTGATTGTTATAGTTTTCAAAGTGATAAAGAAGAACATGTTTCTGATGATGAACTTGAAGGAGAGAGTTTAAGGGGGAGAAAGAGAAGTAATAGGGTGGTATATGATTCTTCTTGTGATATTGTAATATGGCAGTGTGGTTTGGTATTTGAAAGTGTAAAGCAATTTAGAGAGGCAGTTACAAAATATGCTATAAAAAAGGAGTTGAGTTAGATAATTATGTGAGTGAGAGTACTAGAGTGAGAGTGTGTTAAAGTAGTTGTCCATGACTGTTCTATGCATGCAAGGAAGGAAGGAGTGAGAACTTTACTATCAAGACATACAACACAGGGCACAAACGTACCAGGACTACCAATAATATTTTGTGTAATTCAAAGTTCTTATGCAAGTATCTGAAAGATAGGATTATTTCTCAACATAGTATAAAAGAGTGGGAGATACAAGAATTGGTGAGGAAAGAGTTGAATGTTCATGTAGGCAAGACATTTTGTTTAAAAACAAAAAAATAATTTAGAGGAAATTATGGGGGATCACGTGGCAGAATTTAAAAGAATCCTAGACTACAAGGATATGTTACTACAAACAAATCCTGGTAGCACTTGTGTTGTGAACCTTAAAGATTCAGAATCAGGAAATGGGATAAAACAGTTTCACTCTTTTTATATTTTTTTATGCTATGAAAAAGGGTTTCCAACAAGGATTCAGAAGATGTATAGGGCTGGATGGGTGTTTTCTAAAGGGAATTTTGTAGTGGTCAACTTTTGGTAGCTACAGCTAAAGATGCAAACAACCAAATGTATCCAATAGCATGGGCGGTAATTGGTATTGAAAGCAAGTTGACATGGAAATGGTTCATGACCATTCTGAAAGATGATCTGAATCTAGGAAATGGTTCCCAGCTAACTATCATTAGTAATATGCAAAAGGTAATTGAATATCTTTCTTTTGTTTATGTTTAATTTAATTGCCAATTTAATTTGACCAAAATTTAACTATCTTGTTTTGCTTTGCAACTACAGGGACTAATAGCTGCTGTAGATGAACTATTTCCAGAATGTGAGTACAGAATGTGTGCTAGACACATATTAGCAAATTTGTCACAAAACTTCAGAGTCTTAGAGAGAAGGAAGAAATTTTGGGCTTGTGCTAGATCAACATTCGAGGCACAATTTAAGTACAATATAAATGCCTTATCCAAGCTGGGAATAGGTATTGTTGAATCCCTTATCAAATACAACAAGGAGACATGGTGTAAAGCTTTTATCCAAATATTTTCAAAGTGTGATAATATAGATGACAACATGGCAGGAAGTTTCAATTCTTGGATCTTGGGACCTAGGAACAAGACCATTGTAATTATGTTGGAAGAAATTTGAGTTAAGGTGATGAGTAGGGTGAGTAAGTCAAGAGCATTTGCTGAAACATGGACAAATGAAATATCTCCAATGGCAATGGTGGTTTTCAATACAAATGTAACAAGATCAATGCAGTGCAACATTGAATGGAATGGTGATGCTGGGTTTGAAGTGTTAGAAGGGGTATATAAGCATGCTGTGAACTTGGGTCAACAAAAATGTAGTTGCAGATCATGGGACTTAAAAGGTATCCCATGTGCACATGGTATAGCAGCAATGAACCACTTGAACATGGATGCATCACAAGCAATATCTAGCTAGTATAGAAAAGACACATATATGAAGACATATTCTCATTTCATTCAACCAGTCCCAAACATGGAAATGTGTCTTAAAGCAGAAACCCAATGGTTGAACCACCTGAGACAAGACAAATGCCTGGTAGGCGACCAAATAACAGAATAAGAGAAAATGGTTAAGTGATAAAAGCTAGAGAGTGCCAAGAATAGGGACAATAATGATATGTTCATTTTGCAAAGGACCAAATCATAACAAGAGAAATTGTCCGAAAAATCCTAAACCTAAGTCTACACCAACACCCACCCAAGAGGTACATTGATATTGATTTGCTTTTATAAATTATGTTAGATTACTTATTAATTTAATCTCTTGTTGTATTCTTTTTCCACTCATATTAGTCCACCATTGGAAAAAAGAGGGGTAGGGGTCACTATGAAAGAGTAAGCACTAGTAAGATTGGTACAAGAAGAGGTGTAGAAAGTGGCTACAAGAAGAGGCCTAAAGTTGTTGGACAAGGTGTATTTGTTGCTGATACTGGATATACGTGTATTAATGAGAGTGTCTTATAAAACTGTCAAAATTATATGTCTTCTAAATGTGAGTCCCAAAATAACTATGTAGTTGATATTGCAGCAAGGATTGTCCATAAGGAGGAGGGTTAATACTAGTGTGGTGAGTTCTGCGCATGTGACCGGTGGTATTAGTTTTAAACCTATCAAGGAACTAAAGTGGAAAGGCAAAATGGCCATGACTCAAAGAGAACTTCAAGTATGGGTCGTGTTCAAACCAGATCAAAAGTTGATGACATTCAAACAAGGTCACAAGCCAAATGAAAATCACCCTCAAAGAAAACTTCTTAGTTGTGTGATTGTGTGGGTGTAACAACCAAACTTAAGTTACTGACTATTTTTATATTGGTGTTTATGTGGTTGTCCAACCAAACTTGAAATAGTGTTTTACGTTTTGATGCTTCTTTGGTTGTTCAACCAAACTTAAAATAGTTACTGTTTAGTGTTTTGGTGCTTGTGTGGTTGTTCAACCAACCTTAAAGTAGTGATTGTTTTATGTTTTGCTGGTTAACTTAAGTTATTGTGGTTGTTGGTTGAAACAATAAAACATTATGATGCTTCCTTTTTATGATCAAGAAAGCACTAGTTATGTTATGTTTGTTGCCTTCATGTTATTATTTCGTGGTATCATATTACCTATTACATGTAATTGTAGTTTGATGAAAAAGGATAAGTCAATTACCTTCTATATATATATATATATATATATATATATAGCTTTAATCAGCAAAAACATACATTACTAGAACACCAAACCAAACTAATCCACAAAATGAGTACCCTAGAACCAAATGATTTTGCCTTAATAACAATTGCATTAAAAAAATAAATTCAACGACACACTAAATAAAAGAACAATATCACATTATATATCAAACTAATACCCAAAATCAGTTTCAATATCCATTTACACCAGAGTTGTTCTTCTTGTTTGTTGGTTTTCTTCAACAAACCCAAAATTACAATATTCGCCTGGGTCGAAAACACAGGATCATACCAATCGAAAAACATACAAGAATTTCGACATGAGGACTGCATTTCATAAAATCAAAGTTAAAAAAATGAAAATCTCATAATACGAACTTGTCAAATAAAAAGCAAAAAGGAGTAACAATGCATACCCCATAGTGTCTATAACCGAGAAATCTATGTCCGGGATTGTCATTTTTCCATGAAATTTTCAGAATTGGAGGAGCCCCACATAAACAAACAAGTCTCCTATTATTGTTCATGAATTTAGCAATAACAATAAAAACAAAAAAAGTGAGAAAAATCTGAAATTTGAAAAGGGAGAAGGGATAAAGAAGAATAAATAGCTAGAGAATAGAGTGAGAAAAATCCTTAAAATAAGCAAAATATTAAAGAAAAAACAGATTTTTTACGTATATTACCATTGTAACTTTATGATGTGGCAAAAAATCGCTCTCTCACGCGCCTTGCAGAGTTTGATTTCAGTTTTTATGTCAGGTGAACAGAAAAGGTGTACGTATTGGATGACTAAGCATGTTCAGGAGGTTAATTAAAACGAAATAAAATTTAGGTGTACACTGAATAAAAAACTTCAAGTTCAGGGGGTAATGAATACTTTTGCCTATTATTAATCATCAGATTACTAAGTTTTCTGGTTGAAAGAAGAGAAGCATATTTTGGGATTTTCCATATTGGAGTACCAATCTTGTTTTGACATAATCTAGATGTAATGCACATTGACAAGAACTTCTTTGAGAATGTGTTCAACACACTGCTGGAGGTAGATGGTAAAACAAATGCTAATCCAAAATCAAGAGAAGACTTGAAAGAGTTTTGTCGACACCCTGAATTGCATGATGTTGATGGAAAGTAACCGAAAGCTATTTACCCACTGAAAGAAGAGTAAAAAAATTGTTGTGTGAATGGTTAAAAATCTAAAATTTCCTGATGGATATGTCTCAAATATGGGAAGGTGTGTGGACATGAAAAACCACAGGTTATTCGGTATGAAAAGTAATGATTGTTATATATTTATCTACTAACTAGATTAACACATCTTTTCGTGAATGTTCAAAGGGATCTTGTTCTTGATGTGATATATCAACTAACTTCTATTCTTGTTATAATTAGACCAATCATGATTAAATCATTATGATATTATTTCATCCACATTTAACTTTGAAATTGCAGATATGGAACCTGGGGTGGGTGGGGGTGGGTGTAGTAGATATTCTGGAAAAAGGACAACAGATCCAGTGGAATCTCCTCTAATGTCGAGTTTCGCACCTGATCAAGCACCACCATTGCGTGAACTGCCAACACCAGTTACGCCAGATTCAGTTACAGTCAACATATCAGGACCATCTTCATCTGTGGGGATTTAAGTACCAAGGAATGACATTGTATACACAACTTCGTCAAATACAACTGATGGTACCCGCATCCCCATTGAAATCGTCATGGGATGGTAAGTGTAAAACATTGTTTCACTTACATTGTTTTGTTTCAGGCACGAAAACAAGATGTGTTGATTTTCTTCCATACATTTTTTTTTATAAATGTTAGAAGTTCTGTTGATTTTCTTAATTTGTATTAATGGGGAATGAATTACAAATTGAGGTGTTTTTAAATCAATACGAAAAAAAATCATTCTTGATGAAAGTTGCTGGTTCACTAATGTCTACACTTCTCTTATATAAGAATCAATATTTGAATGTGGCAACATCATATGTTAAGGAATCATATTAATATAATGGGGCACCAGAATTCCCCATGTCCAGTTTCCCAGAATTTTTACTCGTGACCTACATATTCAGATTGTGGGGCAAATTTATTGTTTACTTTGCTTTTATTGGTGATCAACTTTTAAGCTATTGGCTTGACTTAGGACCTCTCAATCTATATAGATGTAGTGTTGCTTTGATGAGAAAAATATAATATCTATATACTTGGTATGATTTGTTCAATAAAGATGATAAAATGTCCAACCAAATTATTGTCAACTTCGATAAGTGGGGAGTACTTTATTTTGCTAGTTCGATTGCAAATACTGTCATTTAACATGCATTATATTGTTGACTTGTGATTTTTCAATTCATGGATTTCTTTCAGCTAATATGTTTCTTCTTTTTCCACTAGATCCTATCTTACTATGCGACTAAGATTGGTAGGAATTTGTGAAATCCTCTATAAATATATTTTATTTTACTCCCACCCTGTAGCAGATTTTCATGGTAGACATAAACTACATGGTGCATTTTTAGAATCTTATTAAATATTAGTGTGTATGGTGTGACATTTCTTTGATATCAACAGTCCTCATTCCCTAAAGTTTTTCTTATCTTTGTAGTTTATCATTAGATTTCATGCTAGAATTTTTTTTACTTGTTCTAGATTAAGCTTAGATCTGAATCTATGTATTGAATCCAAGCTCGGTATAAGCTCCTCCCAGCTAGTCATTTCAAGATATGATAATGACATGATTTTATAATTTATATCTAATCCTTGTCTCTTTGATAACATTTTCACAAGTGTCATATTTTTATTCCTTATCTCCTCGACCTCTTTAAGATCTTATATTGTCGCTAAAGAAACTGATAATAAACTCTAGACACTGCTTGATGTACATAAATAAAATAGAGTACTCAAATAATTACTTGTTATTTATATACAAGTTTGGAGCCAAGTAACAATGTATCTCGAGTGATCGCAAAAATCATTAAGGAAAAATTGGATCCTGAAGGACATGATTGGAAGTTAGGTGCAGCAAAGATTAAGTATTTCTACTGGGACGAGTTTAAGGTAAACCATACTATATGTTTTTTTTTTTGTAACTATTGATTTTGTACGAAAGTAAACCATACAGCTCAAACAAGAACAAAATAAAAACATAGTTGATGAAATATAAAAAAAAATAGAACCACTACAACTAGCAAAAAGATAAACTTAGGTTGTTTCATCTGCTACATCTAGTAAACAAAAAATATTTAGGGATACAAGATCATAGTTTCTAACAATGGAGTCATTTCCTATCGTTATTACTCTTTTGAAACACCTCTTGGATAACTTGTCTAACTAAACTTCAGATCGTCTTTGTGTGCCATTAAAAACACGTTTATTCCTTTCCATTCAAATGTGGGATACACTACCACCCAAGAAAGTTCTATATATATCTGCAATGGAAATCTCTCCTTTCATTAAATTACTCAGCCATTCTACTTCATTCCTCTTTCCCATAGGAGCTCTTGTTATTCCCTGCCGCTGTAGAAACTTAGTCCATACGTTGTGGGAAGACTATATTGGAAAAACAAGTGCTCTATAGTTTCATATGCATCTCCACACATTGGCCAACTCATATGATCAACATTGCCCTATCCAAGAAATCTATTTATGGTGTGTTATCATCCCAATATAGCCAAGTACAAAATGAAGGTCCATTTATGTGGACCACTGATATTGTAACTTAACCTCCTGCATGTGACTTTTTTATAATTTCCTCTTAGCTTCATATATAATTTTCTAACAGAGACTTTTCCTTACTTCCTAGTTCACCATGTTCATTCGAGTTTCTTCAACATACTTCCTTCCTTTTCAAGCTTTTTTAACACCCGTGATACTTTTTTTGGTACAAATTTTATATCTGATTGTGTGTCCTTCTAATATAATATTCATGTACTCATTATACCCAAATTCCATTTTGCTATCATTTTATTAATGTATTATATTTATTTGGAGTTTCTGTTATATCAATTTATGTGATATTTTTCTGTATATTCTTAAATAGAAGCGATTCCATAATATTACAATTGAAGGTTCCATAAAGGATCATTTTATGCAAAATGTTCAATATAATACAAGGCTATGTTATGTGAAGCAAGATCCTGTGAGGAGAAACAAAATAATATTCCAAAATCTATTTGGGAGAGCTGGAAACCTCACTATGATACTGAGAGTTTTAAGGCTAAATCTGCACAATGTTCCAAAAATCGACTCAGTGAGAAATGTGGTGAAGGATCTGGTTCCTCGCGCCATACTGGAGGCTCCCGAACTCACCGAGAGCATGCAAGATAATTGGTACAATTATTTTTATTTTTGTCAAATTATAGTTATTTTAAAATTATTCCTTATGTAATAACTTAAATAGATGTGATTTCAATTTCAGGCGAATGTTCTTGGAAGACCACCTTATCCTCATGAACTTTTGAAGAAGACACATACCAAAGGAAACGATGAGTTTGTTGATATGAAGTCTAAGAGAACATACGTAAGTAATGCCACACATTACTTATCTTTCTTAATTTTTGTTGAGGATTCACTTAATCTTCATCCGTCATGTTTATCCCAAACATTGAACACTTGGTTATAATATTGGAGATTAACAATGAGGGAAGTTAATGTCGTAGTAGTGAAGTTGATGTCTCTGTATAACTTTCCAGCGTGAAAGAACTCTTTAACAGCTAACAAAACATCATTCTGGATTACTGGCCTTACTTTATCAATGCAACCGAGACTATCTATAATCTCTTGGTCGGTAACTTCAGTACATAGAGTAGTTTAATTTTCTAGAGTAAGTGTAGGTCCCCTTCTCATAATCGATTTGTCTACTGCATGTAGCTAAGAGTTGCAGAACCCATATGAATCTTGTAACAGTAACAATTTCTGTCTGTGCATCCTCAAGAGTGGTATGCTTGGTTCCTGATAAAGACATAATTTCAGATATTTGTTTCCTCTGAGCTCTTAGCTTCATTACTGCAGAGAAAAGCTGTGTTGGAATCTCCAAGCTTAATCCACCTCGCACTAGACTTTTGCTACAAGATCCTGTCCTCTCTCCAAAACCACTTCTCCAAATTCAATGTGCCTTTTCTTCAATTATTATCCCATCACTACACAGCATACTCAAGTGTTCTTGAACTACCTTCAAGTCTGTCCTAGCACTATCAGTTTATTGGTTTATATTCTGGAATTCTCTAGTATGCAACCTTTTGAGTTGTGGCTTTACCCTCATCCTAAACCATACATTTTTCGTCCTCCTGTGAATTGTTGTCTCTGTACTGCACTAACCATAGGTAAGAATTCTTCATGGTCAGCTAGAAAATTGAAAAATCAGAAAGGAATTTTTTTTCATCTGAGGTGCTGCATAGAACTTAAGAATCATGGGAGAGTGATCAGAAATTATTGGCAAGTCGTAATCCATTCACACATGTAATCATCCAATCAAAATTACCAAGAGTCCTGTCCAGCATACTCTATATTCTATTCGCCTCTGATAGTTTGTTTTCCATGTGAAAATTTCTCCTTCTAATGATAGTTCGCTGAGAGATAATTGTTGTATACAGTCTAAGAAATCTTATGTTTCACCCTGAGTCATGTGATTCCCCATTAGTGTGTCATTTGGTGAGAGTACGACATTGAAATCACCCCATCAAAATCAAGGTTTATTCATAAATTGGCCAATTTACTGTAGATTCATGCGCATTGACTTTCTTTGTTTCGAGCTATTATAACCATCGATTATGGTTACCACGACATAAGATCCATCAATTCTTCCTTTAACTAAGCAATGAATTAATTGCGCCTCCTTTTCAATCAAGATAACGTCGTACCATTGGGAGTTCCATAAGATGCATACCCGCTCATTTGTTGCCTTCTGATAATTATGCAGGCCACCCTTATTTGAAGTCAAGTTATTGAAGATCCTATTACTTGTATGAGTTTTCACTTGAATATATACTAAGCCTACTAGGTTAATATAATTATTTTAGATATAGTGCTTCAACGCTTTCTGCTTATACCTTATATTGGCACCTCTTATTTTCCAACATAACCATTTCATAGAGATGCACTTTGGCACCCACCTCTATCAGGGAGTATGTTATGAGACTCCTCAATTCCACTGGTCAACTTTTCAAAGCTATTCTTAGTAGGTGTAGCCTTACTAAGAAAAGGGAAGTTTACTGAATTCAGGGGTGGGCTTCCAATTCTACTAGTAGGCATTGAACTCTTCTCTTTTCTTGGACTTCGTTCTGGGACTTGGAGTGTACTCGAGAAGGTTGCCTGTGACTTCTGTAATATTTATTGTTCCTGTTGAGTAAATTCACGTATATGTCGGTTGTATTGCCATTCATATGTGATATTCTTTGCTATCCTCCTTCGTTTTCTTAGAAGATTCATCTGATCTTATGTTGCATCTCTATGAGTAAGAGGGGATCTTTCTTATTACAAAAAAATGCAGAGATGTATGTTACTGTGAACCATAAAAGTATATGAAAGACAAATACAATGCACATTTCCTTTTGTATTTACAATTTCTTTTTAAAAATTAAACATTCCTAACCTTTCAAGTCGCAACCCTAAGCTTTATCTTATTATAAACAATAGGTCCCCATGTAGCTGCCACTAGCTCTATCTTCAATTACTTTTAGTGTATACTCTTTACCCTCTCAAACACCTTTTTTTGTTTATCCAACTCGCTTAATTTATTATAATATCGTTGAATTCTACTAAGCCTGATATTCTTGTTTGGTTCATTGATGTGAAAGGTACTTTATCAGTTGTTTGAGCCTCAACTTGGTAGCTTCTTAAGAGAGAATTTTATCAAATATGGATTGAATTGCATGACCTGGAAAAAGTGTACCTTTTAAAATATGTTACTGTTTGTAGAGCTTTCAAGGACAGATTACCCACAAATAATAGGATTATCAAGATGGGGATTAACAAATCTTCTGGATGTTGTTGTTGCTCCTCACCTTGTATGGAATGGACCATTTTGTCTATAGTTGTGTGTTTGTCCAGAAACTATAGAAAATTGTACGTAGCGTATTTACTATCCATTGGTAAACTTCCCTATATACAAATTTACTTAACTGATTAAATATTAGGATCCATGATTCTTTGATTAATTTGATCTCTAAATTATTCCTATCATTACTTCTTGGAAAATTTGGAGAGTAAGATGTGGGATAACGTATGGTACTGAGAAGTTAAGCAACATTTCTTTTACTCTAAATGAAGTAGAAAATGCAAGTTCTAAAAGATCAACTTGGCACACAATTGGGAGGAGATAACTTGTAATTTGGAAAGACAGATTAGTGCCGAGAAGACTAATTTTGTACACTGAATCTTAACTACAGGAAGGCGTGTCAAAATAAAGGCTAATTGCAATTGTAGAAATGATAAGTGTGGTGGAGAAGGTATTGTCAGGGACAAAGATTGTCGACTGATATCAATTGTGTTGTATGTTTATAACCGCTATTCATTTTTTCTTAATATAATATTATGTATTTTGTTTTTCCAAGATGCTCTAATGTGTAAGATCACATTTGCATCTCAACTTGAAGATGAATCTTGTTGACTTTCCAACAGTAGATTTTTCAAAGATTTACATGGATGAAGTGGGTGGGGTTAAGAAGGCATGTATATGTGGTTTTGGTTCTCAAGCAGTATTCTATGAGAACATTGGTTCATCGTCTGCTTCAACTACTCAACCTCAAGATTGTAGTTTTGATGCTCGGGTGAAGGAATACGTTCAAGAAATGAAGCATGAGATGAGAGAAGAGATACGACATGAATTAAGTGAAGAAATGAAACATGAAATGCATCTACAAATGCAAGAGCAAGTTGATACACCACCTTAGCTTAGACGTGACCCATCATCAGTATGTCAGAGCTGGGCTGCCTAAACCATCCTCCAGTAAACTGCCCACTGATACACCACCTTAGCTTAGACGTGACCTATCATCAGTAATTATATAAGTCATTTAAATTATTCAAACTATCCCAAGTAGATTTTGTTCTTTGGGCTTTATTTTGAACTCTTCATCTTAGATTTTGCATTGTTTTTTCCCTTATTTGAATTCTTTTTGAACTCTTCATCTTAGGTTTTGCATTGAATGTTTCTATATTTAATTGGAACTCTTCATCTTTGGTTTGCATTGTTTATTCAAGTAATAATTTATCAAAAAATCACTGTATGTTTCAAGACTTTTTAGGATTCGTAAAAGTTATTGACTAATATAAATATATAGAGTGAAACTTAATCGAATTATCATTTAGTCAGTAATATGACAATATACATTACCAATCAATCACTGACCAAATATTGAACATAAATGATATACATTACCAGCAAATTAAAAATCAGTTAGTAAGCTTCCTAACAAATTAGTAATGAACTTTTTGTGTTTCGAAAATACTAACCAATTAGTAACGTAAGTTACAAAAGTAGATAGTCATACTTACTTATAGATTTAAAATTCGTTGGTCATTTACTAACGAAATACCAACACATTTTTTTCTTAACTGAAATTGCTAATCTATTACTAACAAAATTGAATAATGAAGAACCAAATTTACTAACTCTATTGCTCTTCATTCGTAAGCTTACCAACAATATTCCAAACTCAAACTTGGTTGTTGAATTTATCAACGAAAATTCAAAGGCTACATTTCAATAATTGCCAACAAGTTGTTTATGTGTTTACTAACTGAATTTTAGTCGGTAATTTTACCAACTAACTAAAATGGGTTGGTAAAAATTAGTGACGATCTTTTTAGCAACAAATTAACATGAGTTAGTATTTAGTTGGAAAATTCATTTGCTAACCGACATAATCAATTTATCAACCGATAATTTTGTTGGCAATTCAGGGTTTTTTTTGTAGTAAAATCACCAATGCATGAGAAAAAGTACAATTAGTCAAAACCATGCATTATATTCAATAACTCAACATGCACATATATCGAACATTATAAGTCAACCCAACATGATATTAACCCAACACATAAGCAACCTAAAACAATATTTGTGCAATGCCAAGAATAGGACTCCATAAACCTATCCAACGCTAAGCATCACATTAAGTCACTTACTACATGCATACAACACAATCTCATACTTTACCATAACATGCCTAATTCATAAGCTCATATAAAGCTTTACATAAAGAACATGTTGCCAAATTAATCATACAAGCACCCTACTATAACTATCCTTTAGGATCCCACATGCGCAATGAGTAAGAGAAGTCACATACCCTCCCTCATCCTATGTAGTAATCTTTAAGACAAGCCCTAATAATAGTTCATATACTTTACTTGTTCACTTACGTTATTACATTAGGGAAAGAAGTGCAGTATCCAACATGAGAACATGTAAACTACATGAAATCCGGTGTTTCCTCCCACACCGAAAAGATAGGGTTAACACTTGCCTAAGGTGTAACCATTCATACATAGCTATCTAGGTGGATCCACTAAGCTATAGTCCTATGTGGGCACATAGTTAAGGTCAAGGAGATTTCTAATAGAAACCTTGACTAACTAGACGTGGAGGTTTCCATCTCATGAAACAACACATATCTTGAGAATCCAGACTTACTAAACGTGAAGAAACCCATGTGGGAGGCCGGGCTTACTAAATCTAGGACTTCCACCTCATTTACATGCCCTTTCGGTGCTAAGAATTTATTCCCTTTAGTACTAATCACATTCTTTATACAAGATCACATTAGTCTCTTCTAGACCCCTATGTGAACATTTCATCATAATAACTCATAGGTATTCTTAAGAAAGAACTACCCTTTCATTTTAGAAAACCTCACAAGTGAGTAAACCTTTCAGTCAACACTTTAAAAGAATCATGAGATTTACTTTGAATCATATAATAATCATATCTTAACATGCTTTCACACTTCATAGCTGATTTAATAGTCTAGAGTTAAGGATGAGGAATACTTGCTATCCACATCACAACCACACATTAGGCATAGAAGCATTACTATCTAAGTAAATCATACTTCATAATTGAATTCAAGAAGAATCAATCTTCATACTTTATTGCCCTTTAATTGCCTTCATACTTTAATTACCAAAGAGTACAGAACCAATGCATAAACAAGGTAAATTCAAGAAGTAATGCATAACAATTATCATTGTTCAAATCACAATCTTCCACAATTACCATAGAATTCCAAGATAAAGTGAGTTGATTATCAATAATTAATCCTAATTTCATAGTTAAACAATTATAGAAGACCATAATTCATCACAATTGAATAACAATTTCGTTTTTAAAAGAGAACCCATGTCTAGATTGATACCCTAGGTTTGGGGAGGTTGAAAATCATCGTTTGAAAGGGCCTCTTAGGGAAAGGAATCCCAAGTGTTAAACAAACCATACCTTAGTGATGATCTTGCCAAAAATTTGAAATGAAAACCTTGGTGATTTCTTCCTTGACTTCGAGCTCTAGTGTTCCTTCAATGGAGGTTTGAGTTTGGGAAGAGTGAAGCTACAGAGAAGTTAGAGAGAGTTGGTTTGAGAAAATAACGGGGTTCTAGGTTAGTTAATGAGTTGGAAACCTTTATATAGTCCTTAACTAATCAAATTAACCACCCCTAATCCCCTAATTAATCACCTAACTAATCACTAACTAACTCTCCAACTTTAAAACTCTGCAGTCGACTTTGGACCTTCAAACAACGGTTGCCCGCTGACGGGGCATCGATCAAACAACGGTGATGTACCGGCACACCATCCTTTGATTCAGAGACTATGTTTTTGGAAATTTTTGAAATATATATAAGTGTAAACCAATAAAGCCATCAACGGCTCGTCGTTGGCTCGTGAATGCACACTGTCCAATTTGACAGTTTTGGGTCAAATGGAAGGGTCCTCTCCAAGGACCCGTAGGGTGGTCCTTGGGGAGTCGTACTAGGATGTTTCGATCCTAAACATGATCTAATACATAATCTCCGGACGTCATGGTCGTTTCTTAACATTTTGACTCTAACACTTCCTACCTAGTTTCAATACATCAGTTTAGGCTTAGAAACAATGATTCAAGTCTATTTCAACATGTGATGCTCTAGATTTTGTGATGGACTTTCGGAGTGTTACACTACTACTCGCAATACTCGTGTTGAGATACCAAACTTTCCGCTTCAAGAAATCCATAAGACTTCCTCAATCTATTTATAATCACATCAAACTAATATCATGTTACTTCCTTCGTTTAAGATAATTCAAACTAAATCTAGAATACCAAATCCTCGAGGTTTCATGGTAGACTCTTAATCTGTCAATTTATGCCAAATTGGTGTTTCTAATTCCGCAAAACAGTCTCATTAATGATTATTTACTTCACCTTATAATAAACAGAATTAACTTCACTGTCCTCCAGTAATTCTTATTCGGTTTAAGCCAAACTACAAAAGTTCAGTCCAATTCTTTGACGTACTCACTCAAATAATAAGACTTTAACAGGTTCATCAATCTCTTCTAGACTCACATTTCTCAAGTTCCCAATACCTAAATTTATAGCCACAAAAAATGCAAATCCAATCTTTAAACTAAGTTTAGAAACTTAACTTCTTATACCGCTTCCCTCGTCATTTAAAATCCAAGATTTACCAATTTTCCTTCTTCTCTCCGTCTCTAGAATGAATAAGTAGCTTCGTGTAAAGTAGAAGTATAAAAGGTTCAGCTCTTAGCTGAAGCTATGTACGTGCAGTTGGGCTAAGGCCCACTCCTTTTTTCTTTTAAGAAAAATTCTTTGGTCTCCTTTTCCGTTTCTTACTCTTTATTTATTTATTTGGCTAATGATTAATATGTCCTTGTTTAAAATGTGGGATATTACATTCTCCCCACCATAAGAAATTCGATCCCCAAATTTAGATGATTGTATACTTGTAGGCTGAAATAAGAGAGGATACTGGACTCACATAAAATTTTCCAACTCCCAAGTAGCTTCTTTAATTGTATGAATTCTCCATAGGAATATCACATACTTTTTTTTCTTGACCTCAACATACTTACTTGTTCGTAAACAATAGCCACATATTCCTCTTTATATGTTATGTTCTCATCAATTTGTGTAGTCGGTGCTTCAAGTACACGGTCCAGAAATCTTATATGACCTTACATATCTGGAGCTCAATTTACCTTTGTTGCTTCACTCCTTTCATAGAAGGACTCTTAGGAACGTTTTGTCTTCAACTGTGTACTCTAAATACCTTTTCTTTTATATGTAAAAGACTTTAATCCTTTTGAGCTATGCCCAACTTCTGTATGATTAACTAGACCTTGTCCATAGTTTCTTGTACCAAGTCTGTCCCAACACATTAGCCTCTCCAATTTTCAACTACCCCCAAAGTCAAGAATGTGAACGCCCAACATCCTCCAAGATTTGCATAGTACATTCAAAATGTCTGTTAGTTTGTGGAACTACTAAGATCTATTCATGTACACAATGTTTCTTAGTAAGCTTCTCAAAAGTGTTAAGTATACACAACAAAATATGATGGAGACTTAGTCTTATGGAGTCAAACAATTTATTTTTCATTTAAATTTCTTCATATGCTCCTCTATTTTATCAAGTTTTGAACAATAAGAAGTGTACTTACTTTGTAACCTATTTACAATACCTATTATGGGTCATAACCTATAAGGATACATAGTAGCTCGGTCATAAAATCAATAGTAACTCCTTTCAGTTTCCGTTCTGGAATCTTAATAGGTAGTAGTAGTCATGTTAGTTGCTTATAGTCGTCTTTAACATGTTCACAAGTCAGCCACTAGAAATGAAGTTAGAAATTCCATTCTTTATAAGTTTCCACCAGTACACTTACTTCAGGTGTCTTAGTGGATCCAGGATCTACAATATAGTAAGAGTTATAACTTCTTAAAGGATAACCTCTATCACATCATCTATGTTTGATTATCATAACCATTATCATAATCACCCATTTAGTCCAAAAGTGACATAACTATCAATAGTCATATCAATGTTTTTACTCAGTATAAACTTATTTCCATATTCACAAAATTCTAATCATTGTATTTGGTGATCTCGATATGCTCTACTAATAAAGTCTTGGCCTGGGCATAAACCAACAATGTCCCTAAGTTTCTCAACATAATTTGACATCCATAC